GGTAGGATGAAAATTTGTTTGTTTGTTTCTGTTGTTCCCGTCATTTCTCTACAGACGCTGCTGTAGTTGCGTACACGAATATATATATGTATGTATATATATATATATGCTAGCTTTCTCTTCGCTTCCTTTTTTTTCTTCTATGGGCGGTGCTTTGCTTTTGCCTTTTTTTTTGGGGGGGGGGCGTGGAAGACGTATTCTGAGACCACCTGGGTGGGCGCCGTTACCAGTAGCACAAGAGGAGTGACGATGCCGCCGAAACTTACCCCGCTCCCGCGCAAACCGACGGTTCAGCTGCCTTCGCTTAGCAGTGAGGACGACATCACGCTGGGCAACCTACGTGTAGGGCCAAGTGGGGTGGAGTTCACCGGAGAGGGTGATCTGCACGTTCCTCGTCAGGACATCTCCCTCGGAGCGCTGAAGTGTACGGAGTGCTTAGGAAAGGGAACGCAGGGCAGTGTCCTCAAGTGCATCGATCAAAGGGACAATGCCGTGTATGCGGTGAAGCAGCTCCCTATTCCTAGGACCACGGACCGTATGAATAAACTTACCGTTGCAGGAGAGTTTCGTAACATTTTCTCTCAGGGGGCAAACACATACACTGTGAAGCTTTACAATGCCTTCTACAGAGCTGGAACACTCTATCTTGTCATGGAGTATATGGACTGGGGGAATTTAGAGGAGCTGATCTCTATGCATCCCGTCATCCCAGAACCCGCGTGTGCCTACATTGCGTCACAAATATTGCATGCGTTACAAACACTTCACACAAAGACCAATTATCCCACCGAAACCGATCAAAAAGAGCGACGTCAGATTCATCGCGATATTAAACCTGCCAATGTCATGCTTTCTATAAATGGTGTCGTGAAGCTTGCAGATCTTGGCATCGCCGCAAGCGCGGAAACACTTGGCGTCAACTCTTTTGTAGGTACTGCCATATACATGAGCCCAGAACGAATTCAGGGGCGGACATATAGTACTCCAAGTGACATCTGGAGCGTGGGCGTGCTCATCGCCCAGCTGCTGCTTGGACGATTTCCCTTTTCCGCTGCAGCAACAGGGTTCATGGCTCTTTTGCGCCAAGTGATGGAGTGCAAGTCCCTTTCTTTGGTTGACGAGTGTCATTGTTCACAGAAGGCCGAGAATTTTATGAATAAATGTATTTGCCAAAATCCAGCTGACCGTGGCACCGCCACTGAGCTGCTGCAACATGAGTGGATTGTTGAAAATGTCTCAAAAGGGAGAGACGTTCTCACGCAGTTGTTGGACACTGTGGGTAAACCAGCGGCCCCTGCTATGAGTAGTGGTGAATAAAGGAAGTACTCCGCCTATTCCTGCACACCATTTTCCTCTAACTTTATGCACCCATTTATACATGCATACCTACAGCTGCACCCCTCTTAGGATGGATTCCGATACGGCAATTCTCCGCCCCCACCACTTATATTTATTTGTTTATTTGTTGTTTTGTTGTTGTTGTTGTTTTTGACTTGCTCCTTACCTACTCCAGTCTTTTTTTTTTCCAATTTTCTCGTGGGGGAACGCAGGCGTGAGGCAACCAAAGGAGAACGGTGGAACCATTTCTTGGAGAAAAGGAAATGGGTAGAAGGGGAGGGGAGGGGAAGCGAGGTGACACCTCTGGGGATGCCTCATACACGGATCTAGGTTTACTGTTCCACTTTTTTTTTTTTTAATTCCTTTTAATTTCGTCTGCGTTCTACGTTGTGAGTTGGGGTGAAAAGAAAGGGGTAGAGCGAGAGAGCGAGCGCGAGGCGGAAAGGAAGTGCAATATGCGTAAAAGGTTTAGTTGAGAGCCGTGCTATTTTTATGCATTTGCTTCTCCCACTACCTACTGCCGCCCCATAGAATGCGCATCAATGAAAATATATACTGTCCCGGGGGCTATACTGTTGGCGGGACAACTCCACCGTCTTACTCGCCTCCACCAAACCATGCAGGAGGGTGCAAGAGGTCCCAGAAGGCAATGAAGGAGAGCTGGTGCCCCTGCAAAGTTGCACTTACCTACGCTGTCTTTCCTTGCCCCACAAGCAACTCTCACGTTGGCCAAATGAGGTGACTTCCCGGCTCTCTCTCTCTCTCTCTCTCTCTCTTTTCTTCACCCACACACATGACGCAGGGGGGCAGGTACAGGGAGGAAAGGAACTGTTTCTAAAGAAAAAAAAAGCTGAGGGATATTAAACAGCAACAACAAAGCCCACATACACGCAGGCGAGGTCTTTCAAGAGCGAGGAAAAAAAAAAAGTAAAAGAAAAATGCATCGAAGGAAACAGTTTTTGGAGGCATTTGCGACGGATACGGAGGTGCGGGGTACCGACGCACTCACTGGTCCACTCGGCAGCGAAGTAGGTTCTGCCACGATGCCTCCTGATGCCGTGAAACTTCACAGACTTTCCAAGATGACTGGGCAAAGGCGGATGTCGAGCCGCTCACAACTGGACCGTCTAAGCTGTTCTTCTATTAGTGGAGTCCCACGCATGTTGGTCCCACTTATGCAGCAGGATGACGGCAACGTCATGGATCCTTTACGCATGCTCCATAAGTGCATTCGACATTTTGCAACTCATCCTGAAATTTATGGAAGTAACCTTCATGCCCTGTTAGATCGCGAGCTCATGTATGTCATGCGTGTAAAGGCCTCCGAGGCGGCGCTGCTTGCGCCAGGGATGGTTCCTGTCATTGCTTCCACGTTACCCGCCATAAATATTGGTAAAACGAAGGGTGGTAAGCTGCAACATCCTGCACTAGAGAAATGCGCTGGTTGGATGGTCACCCCGCGGTCGATAGATGCCGCCGTTTCTGCAGGCACGGTTTTTAGAGGCGATGGGATGTTTGGCTTTGGAGCCACAACCTTTGTGGAGGGCACTCCCGGCTTTTTTTCGCTGCTTGATAAGGCTAGTCGACGCGTGCCCCTGCACGAGGAACGCATCACGGCAGAGATCCCTGAAGTTGCGGGTGACAACTCCGTTCCTGCGTCAAGCGTCACTGATTTTTCGCATTCCGAGAGGAGCGCTTCTTTGCAGGAAAAAAATCTACAACAAGACACTGCGCGCGTGCGATTTCTTGCTTCTGAGAATTCTTCCTCCCCGTCTCCCACCTCCGGACCCGTGCAAGCCGACACTGGCCCAATGCTGCTTGTGGATGGAACAAGCTACGAGGTGTCCTTCTTGCGATCGCAGCTGCAGCAGGTCGAGGCGGCGTACAACGCCAAGTGCATTTCACATCATGAGTTGCAGCAGGAAAACACGCAACTGAAGTCGCAACTAACTGCGACAGAGAAAAAAAAACAGCAGTATCTAGCAAGGAATCAAGAGATGCGAGTACAGATAGAGAGCATGAAGCGAGAGTTGGATGCCTGGAAGCAGCGCGCCAGTGAGTTGAATGTCGCCGGACAGGGCGCCAACTCTCATGTTTCTTCCGAAAGTTCACGTCGTGTGCAATTGATGCAGCTTGGTCAGACAAAACGTGAGTTGTCACACATGTCGCGTCTTTGGAGAGAGACGGAAAAGTCTTTGCAGGAAACTAAAAGAGCCTTGGAGAGTGCCGAAAAGGAGGCGCAACTTTCGCACAGTTACCTGGAGGATGCCTTTCACTTGATTGAACGCCTGGAGCGAAGAATCGTGCGACGTGACCATTACATCGGGATACAAGGGCGACGTCAGGCTTCCTTAGAGGAAAAGTACGAAAAACTCATGTGGTGTCTTGAGGAGCTGCGAACTATAACTGGAGGAAGCTCCTACGTGGACTATCTTCTCTCGCAGGACGACGCGTGGTCATTGTTTCTCTTTGTGCGTCTACAACGACGTTTTATGGGATACGCCCAGATGGAAGAGCCCATCCCCGCTAAAACGGAGCCGCTCTTCTTCCGACGCACACCACTTGGGGGTCGGTTTGTTGACATGTACAGCCCGAGCCTCCTTCTTCGACTCGTGACGGATCAAGGCTGGGGAACAACGGAAAGTACGGAGAAACTGCCGACGATACAATTGAAGGCGCAGCTACCGCGCTGGCGTGGGATGTATACCATTGATTTTATGCCCCTCAGCGTTGCTGAGCGCTCGGATGTTAATAGTGCAGAAAATACGATAACGCGCCTTGAAGTCTCGCGCCGTGCGTTTCCTGTTCTTTCACTAGCATCACTACTTCTTCCGCGGCAAAACGCCACTTCGATGACTGACGTCCATGAGGATGAGGAGGTGCCAAACACGGCACAATATGATAAGGCGGCCCTTCGTCTGGTATTATATTCCTTCTGGAGTGAGCGGCTAGCTCACTATAAAAAGAAATGGAGAGGCGTGTGAGGGAGTTCAAGGCACCACGCAATGCATCAACTAAGCCTCTTCCTGGGGAAGGAGAAGGAGATGCAGCAGGTAACGAAGAGGCGGAAAAAAAACCATCTTATCCAGCAACCTTCCTGGCCGCTCTAGTCGATTTTGTGCAGCGCAGTTATCCACTCAACGCGACACCGGCAGGCACTGCAACGGAAGAGCCGAGACGAATTGTGGTAAGAGGCCTAGCAGGTAGAAGCGAAAGACCTTCCGACACGGGACGCTTTATGTATCCTTCTATTGCCTCGATTCGAGAGGATGGCACAGAAGTACCTGTGGTACTCTCACCCCAGGCTCGTGAGCTTCTATTTGCTTTGTACTATTATGCCGAAGAATATAAGGAGGTGGATGCAGACTTTCGACTGTTTTATCTTACTGCGCATCAGCAAATTCCGGAAACGGTGGGCATCAATTTTTGGGCTAGCCTAGAGGCTTTGCGCAAGGACTTGGAGAACACTCTCTGCCATCATCTTGGTCCGCGGTCTTTGGAGAAATCCGAATTGGACGGCACGACCGACTCCGATGCACCGCCGCAGAAGAAGACGGTTGGGGACGAAATTATTGATGAAACTCCATTTAACGCTTTGAATAAAGTTGTGGAGATTATTGATACAACCCCCTTGGTGGAGCAGAGCACCTGCATGGACGCTGATAGCGATGGAGAGGGATTTGGTCTCATCCTGCCAGGTAGTGACAGAGGCGGCGCTGCACTGGCGTCCCCGCAAGAGCGAGCTGTTGAGCCTAAAAGGGCCGATTTCAATATCTTAAAACACAATATTCATGATTACTTGTTTCCCCCTCCTGAAGAAGAGGCTGAATCGCCCACGGCGCCGGCGAAAAATGAATGCAATGAAATTTCGTTACTGGACACAGATGCTGGTAAAAGCAAGGATAAGGGAGAAATTCCAGCGGCATGGGTGACTCTTGATGAAAAAATTAGAGCCATCTTAGGTCCACATGCGTCGTTACTAGAGGCCTTTAAGGCGAATAAGGGCCCGAATATCTCGGAAGAGCAGCGAGGTAAGCGGCAGCGCTTTAAGAAGGAGGCAGTATCATATTCAGCATCACGTGGACTTCTCCCCTTTGACGAGGTTGTGGAATTAATGTATAAACATTGTTTTGCCACCTATGCTGTTTCCTGTTGTGGTGGGGCGCGCTTCTCGCTTGTAGAGGCGCTAACGCAATCTGGAGACAGTACCACCGTGGACGGCATTTTGAATTCACTGGAGCACCTCACAAAGGTTGGTTGGTTTCCTCCTTCAGAGACGCAGATGCGACGTTTGCGATTTGCCGTAGGAATGGATCAACCATCTCCACTTCTGCGCTTTACGGATTTCTTTGACGTCGATTCCCGCTACGGTCTACCCACACATTTCCATGATGAGTATCTGCAGTTAACGTTGGATACCTACATGGAGCAGCAAGAAGGTTGGATGAATGCCATGCTAAAGTCTATTATTCCGAACGATGAGGCGGAGCCTCTGCAGAATATTGATGAACTGGATGCGAGTATCCCTTTTCCACGCCTTCGAAAAGGAGTTTTAAGTGTCTTTCAACGAATATTGCAAAGTCCTGAACAGGGAAATACGCTTGCAAAGCATTTTCTTCACTACTGTGATTTGTTGCGCGAGGATGAGGATGTCCGCCTTGAGCAGTTTACGGATGCTCCTATTTTTATCAATACTCGTCCACTATCTCAGTCCGACTCCAACGCTAAGTTTGACAGGCTGCGGAGACGACGATGGCCCGTTGAGGAAGAGTCCGCGTCGTGCTCTCTGTTGCATCTCTCTTTAGCGGTTCGCATGACCTACATTGTATGGGGTTCATCTTCGCTTCCTTCGGCGAGACTGGCGGGGCCGGTGCTCTCCTCATCCTCCGCTGAGAAGCTAGAGAGCATGGATTTGTGCGATGAGCACGATGTCACCTCCACATGCGGGCATGATGATGTGTTTGTAGCAAAAGTCGAGCAGGAGTTTTCGGACGCGGTACGCCGAGTTAAAACCGGGGTGATGCAGCACAACGCCTTGCGTCAATTGGCTCTGGAGATGTCTCCAACTATGAACGAAACAGAAACAAAGTTTGCGCCGTTGAATTTGAACGGATCCTTTAAAAGCAAGTTTGTGTCACCGGACACCCTTGAAGCCAGCCTCAACATTCGCCGTCTTTATGCTCCCTGGGAGGAAGAACAACAATCGATGCTGCAGACACGAGGAAGCGTGGCCCGCAGCGGGCGACGTTCCAAGGCCTTACGCGGCGCGACGTCCTCACCGTTCGCGGCCAACTTGACGGAAGACAAACCTGTGGCTGAGGTGTATACACCGGAAGTGGCGTCTCTGGCCCGATTTTTGCGCCTCGGCCGTGCAGGTAAGTCCAAGAGTGAAAAGAAGAAAAAGGGGAAACCAACCAAAGAGTTTCAGGAAACGCAACCAATCCCCTTCACTTTGTGTGCGTCTTATGAGACTGAATATATGACTCATCAAAAACGGCTTGCGAATTTGCTCGTAGAGGCGGCAAAGAGGCCGGAGCCTCGCCGCACGGATTCCACCGAGGAGGCGGAGGCGGAGGCGGAGGCGGAGGCGGAGGCGGGGCCCCATTTACAGTTCAGCAAAGAGGCGCGAACGGCGTCATCCAACTTTGCACCAGCCGAGGACCGTTCCCGTTCTATTGACAGCAGTGCCCTGGAACCAGCTCCAGTTCCGGATGAAGACTCAGGCAATCTTATTGGACTACCAGATGTCATTGGGGAGAGAGGTGATAGAAATGCAACAAACCAGCAGAATGAAATGAGAAAAAAAACAGTACCTGGAATTCTTGTCTCGATGCGGCAGGTGCACGCCGGATGTGCAACCTTGAGCCTGATGTAAAAAAGCAAAGGCAAAATAAAATACTGCATTTCTGGAAACCGCTTTCCTCCAGAGACTCTGTTTGTTGTTGTTTTTATTCTGACGATGACTGCATACGGTACTGGATGATGGTTCCATATAGCAACCTTTGCACGAGTGCTTATACTGATGTGCTTCGCTGTACGTGCATGCACCCGCAGGGAGTCTTTTCTATCATGTGTTTCTCGTTGTGCGTGGTTTTCTTTGCCTCCTGGTGTCTTTTTTTTTGTAGTTTTTCTTTGCTGGAGGTTCTGCGCTCAGTAGCAGCTCCTGCTTTTATTACTATGTATATTGCATGTTTGCTACTGTGTCGCGGTGACGCTGCGAACTTGATCTGAAGCTGAGCGGATTGTGCTGATCCCCTCCCGCTGTGGTTGAAGCCACGCTCCGCGTTGTTGTTTTTGATGCTTTCCCCATTCATTTGCGTTGTTTGTTTCTTATTTCCCCTTACGCATGCACCTGCGCCTCTTACCCTCCCCCTCCCCCTCTTTTGCCTGCTTGCCTGCAAACAAATATGTGGTGGTGAGGCGTGAGAAAAAGGTGGGGGAAGACACAAACACACACACACAACGATAGAAAGGGCAAGAAGCTAGCAAGGCGTTGGCAATGACGCAGAATGCTGACCAGGGGGCAGTGGTGGATCCCCACGCAATCATGAACCTGGAGCTGGATGAGGAAGGTGAGGGCTGGACCGGATCGATACGGCGTCTTTTTGCGGAGCGCAATAGATTTTTCCTAATGCTTGGTGTTTTTCTGAAGCTTTCACTCATCTCCGCCAAGGCCCATAAAGTTTCCTACTGCATAAGTTTTTTCTCTGTCTTTCTGGTGGTGTTTCTGTGCATTATTCTCGTGTCGGTTATTTTTAACCTTCCCATCATTTTCCTCCGCCTGGGTGAGGCATACAACGGACAGAATGATCTTTTCTTATTGCCTGGCGGGGAGCTAGGTAGTTGGGCGTCGTTAAACTACTCCACCATTGAAGAGCTTTTTCCGCCAGAGGACACCGCACGCAACTACCACTCCCCTCGTATTACATTGTCGGCATCTATTGTGAATTTTGCCGATTGTACAGGGGTAAAGGAGCCGAAGGATTTATGGTACTCAAACAATGGAAGATTGTGTCGTAAGGGCTGTGTAGGGCAACACTGTCATGAAAACGATTTCTCTCTTCGTGTTGTGGCTATTAACTCTGAACGCGAAACGAGAATGGGCTTTGGAACTTCATGGAAAGGGCCACCACTTGCAAAGGGGGAAGTGGTTTTGTCTAAAGTTGTTGCTATTGCCGTAAATAACACAAAGGTCGGTGATACAGTCGTGATTAGCGCAGAATTTGGCACTCCCCTTCGGGCGCTTCTTCAAAATGTTCCTTCTGTGGGAAGGAATGCACGCGCCATCATGCCTTTCAGAGTCGTGGCCATTATTCCTCCAGATCGTTCCAAGTTGGACGTGGAGGATTTTGCCGTTATTGACTACGACTCACTAGTTGCCACCGTTGCTGAAGGATTACATGACGAAGTGAATAGAGAGGAGGTGGAGCGGTTTGCAAGGCGGGATCCAAGGTTGGCTGCTTCCTCTATTTACTTTAATTTAGACCCAAAGGTTCGTATGCATACGTACAAGACGACGGATTATTCACTTATACGACGACACATCTCTACCTGGGTCACTTCTATTGCCGAACCAATTGGTTACAACCAAATCTCAGTGAATACGCCTATAGTAAAGTTTTTGTACAGCGTCCGTTTTTTTTCACTCTTTGTGGGATTGCTCGTGTCGATTATACTGGTATCACTAGCCTTTCTCAGTGTTATGCTTATATACTCATTGCTCAATTTAACTGTAGAGAGTCGAGTGTATGAGTTAGGTATTAAGCGGATGATTGGTTTTTCAGGGGCAAATCTCGTGTTTATGCTGCTTACAAACGCGTATTCCTTTACGATACCTGCATGGTTACTTGGGCTTCTTACAGGACAGTTGGTGTTTCTTGGGTTGCGTAAGTTGGTTCATAATATGATTGGCGTTGAATTACCTCACTTTATTTCAGGACAAGCCGTTGGTTGGGCGACGTTGGCCGGACTGTTGCTTCCGCTTGTTGGAGCTATTCTTCCTGTGATCACCATTCTCTCACAAAAACTTCCGGATGCCTTGAATGCTACACGCGGGCGCAACGTGGGTGTTGTGTACAAAATTATACGTGAAGGCGACACAAGAGCATTACGTTATATGCTGTTCGGTATTGGGCTTGCCTTTTTCGTCTTTGGATTTTTACTATACTACTTTTTTCCTGCCGTGCTGATGCGCATGCGGTTGGATTGGCTTTTCGTCATCTTCTTTGGTGTCCTGCTTGGGATGCTAGCAGGACTGGTGTTGCTGGCGGTGAACTTTGAACGGGTTCTGCAAACGTCGGCGGCGTACCTCTTTTTCTTTTGGGAGAACGACGCCGTATTTCAGGCCTTTCAAAGGTGTTTGGTGGCTCATCGAAAACGGAACCGTAAAACCACATTGATGTATGCATTCTCGCTTGGTTTTATTTTATTCATCACCATTGCCTTTCAGGTTCAACTAAGGTCTTTCCAGCACGGTGTCCGACGATCGATGGGGGCTGATGTGGTGATTGAGTTCGAGAGCATCGACCTATTTAAGTTTGCCGAAATGGCGCGCCACGTGCAAACGTCTCTCCCGCAGGTGTCAGCGATAACTTTTCTTTCCAATCCGGTTTCGCGTAAATTGCATGTACAAAATGTGACCTTATATTCACCTGGACGGTATGAAGGGGCTCTCATGGGTGGTTTTCGTGCCATATCACCCAATTACTTTGAGGTGCTTGATAAGGAGTTTCTTCGGGTAAATAAGTACGATCGCGCGAGTCGAAAGTATTCTCTTTCAGGTGCTCTCTACACAGTAAACAGAAATCGGGTTATCATGTCTACGTCAGTGTATTCGACCCTTCAGTCAAAGTCGCTTTCGGATGCAGCTCTGCTTGTAATTGGCTCAATAACAGACAGTGTTAAACGATCCGTAGAGAATGTGCGCTATGCTGTAAAGCCGTCTGCGGTATTGGATGCAGCTCCTCAAGTACCCATGTCAAAGTACCGCGGCATGACGGGGGCGCTGTTGACTTCATTTCCTTCCTTGGCTCGTTTGAGTGCAATTGATTATCTAAGTGTTCGCAGCCTGACATTATCCACAGTGAGTCTACGTGTTCCAAACGCAAGCCAGGTGGAGTTTGTATCTCAAAAAATGTCAAGTTACATTCGGCGTAGTCGTATTACAAAGTTTATTATTCGAGACGATGGAACAACAGCGGAGTATTTGGGTATTGCAGAACGTATGCTTGGCTTCTTTTTTACCTTTACACAAGGTATTACCATGGCAATCTGTTGTTTTTCCCTACTTGCGAGCATGACGGCAAATGTGTCAGAATCAACGAAGGAGATTGGAATTTATCTCTGCATAGGTATGACCAAGCCGCAGATCTACAGAATTTTTATCTGGGAGGCGTTTGTTGTCGTCATTGCTTCCGCCGTATTGGGTCTGATTGTGGGTGTTATGGTGGGGTATAGTATGCAGCTGCAGAATCAGCTCTTCTCGCAAATGGATGTCGCGTTTACATTTCCCTACCTACAAGTTGTGGTTGTTTTTGTGATGGCCGTTGCAGCCGCTCTGCTCTCGAGTTGCCCCCCAGTGGCATTCATACTTCGCCTGCCGTCCGTCACCCACATTTTGCGTCGAACGACCTGATGGACGCATCGCTGTCCCCGGGCGTACCACGGTCCCTTCCATACTATCTCTGTGCGTGCTTCCTTGGCAATCTGCATGTACTATTTTTTTTTTGCTTCTTATTTTCGCCCTATTTTGGTTTGGGTTTTTGTTGTTGTTTCGTGTTCATGTTTCAGTTCCCGCAAATAAATTAGCGAATGGAACTTACTTTGAGAGCGTGTGAGAGTAAAAACAACAACAATAACGAAGAATTAAAACAAGCGGGGTATGGTACATAGGCCTGGCTTTATTGAATGCGTGGCTTGCTTGCTCTGGTGGCGCATTGCCAGTACAGTGTTTTTTTTTTATATCCTCCGAATATGTTGTTTTTTTTTGTTGTTGCTACTGCCCTGCCTGGGGGACGGGGAGAGAATGAGGGAGAGAAGTATTCCCCTTTATGTGTGTTTTCTGTTCTAGCTGCTGTTTGTTTTTATTTTGTGTTTCTCTTCCCTTGATTCCTGCTGCTCTTGGCTTGCGTGTTGTCTCCTTGGTGCGGTGGCGGCAGTGCGGGGGAGTGATGCAGGCCCTGGTGCACCACGGCGACCAGTTCGTGGAGGTTCCAGACGCGTCCGTCACACTGAGAGACATCTGTGGCTCATTTGGACTCGCTGGCGATCTCGCAGGCGTCTACATTAAGCATCGTGCGACCGGGCGTGTCGTGGCGACGCTGCCGTTTGAGGGCCTCCCCGCGGTTAGCGACGCACAGGGCGAAGAAGACAACGTCTACGACCTCTGCTGCCCCACCGAAGATGGCGCGGGGGACTCAACCCCTACGACGGATGACATGACTGACGTATTGCGACAGCTCGTGCAGCTGGGGGCCGCATCTCTTCTCTCAACCGAATCGGAACTGCACCGTTCACTAGACCCATACGACCCTCGTACGTCTCCGGGATTACTGATACGAACGATATATCCACCTTCGCTCTACTCGCCTTACCGCCACCGCGGGGATCCACTCGGTATGCAAGGGAAATTTGCCGCCCCGTCCATTGCAGGGCAGATGACGGGACCGCCGTATATTAGTGCAGTGGAGTCGTACAGTGTGGCAGAGGCAAATGCAACGACGTTGCAGTCGCGACCTGACCTGGTCCCGCAGAGCGAAGAGGAGGCGCGTGATATTCTGCAAGGGCTTGTGGCAGCGGCCACGCAGGTGAAGGCTAGAATGGCCATGGCCGATGCGGAGGAGACACGGAATGCACCATTAGACGTCAAGCCGGATCTGGCGCTCCTGCAACCGACTGGAATGGGTTCATGAACGTATGTGCTGCTGACTGCAGTTGCCCTGGTAGAAGGGCGAAGAAGAAGTAAGAAAAAAAAAACAACTTGACGAAGACTTTAATTGCGGTGGGGTTGCCTTGTGAATTATAGGACTGTGTTCCTTGATATATGTATACACATATATATATATATACATACATACTGTTTTTACTGTTTTAACCCTTTTTGTGCCCCCCCCCTCCCTAGGAACATCTCTTTTTTTCTCCCCTTTCTCTCCTTTTCCGATAGTAGAAGGCATCCCTCGCCCTCACACGGTTAGCTTCATACATCGCGGTTTTGTTTTTTTGCCTTCTCTGTAGTTTTCTCTCTGAAGATGCTTGCTGTGCCCATTTCTCCGCCGCCTCCGGCTCTCGGCTCTGCCGATTCCTCCTCTCCCCGTTGGCGTGTGTCGGCCTCCCGCAGGGGCGGGGGGGTGTTTGGGGGGATGCCTCTCCCCAAGCGGCTTCGTCGTGGGACGCACCGCGGCGGAGGCTTCCGATGCTCGTGCGCCTCGCTGATGCTCATTCTGGTCTTTCTCGTGTGCAACTCGCTTCCTTGGCTGCATCGGCAGCGAGGGAACGCACCACCGCAGACGCCGTCACTACCTCTTGGACGAGAGGAGCGTGCCGCGGCGAGCGCGGAGGGGAAACGTCCCCGGCCTGCACCAGACTCCCCAGCAACGGCGTCATTTCTCTCTTCTCTTGACTCTGGCAAACAAACACGAGATGATGCTATAACGCCAACTGGTGTTGCTAACGCAAAGAAACATGTGACACACTTTTTTGAGAACTCATCGTTGCTTCATGTGCAATTTACAGATCGTACGAGGGCGTGGAGGCTTAAGGAGATTATTGAGATGATAGGATACAGTGCCAGTAGCAATGACGACATAACCTCAACTCTTTGCCCTCCGTTGCCGGAAAATCTGACAATTCCTATGGATGAATCGTTTCAGATTGGGATGCTTCGTGAATTTGTGGGAGGCGTATACCACCCGCTGTACTGCAACGCATGGCAACTGCGTATGCATAACGTTTCTAAGCATGCACGCGGTGAAGGGGACAGCGTCCGCGGAGGAGATGTAGGAGTAGCGTGCGATGCAGGCATACAAAAAAGGTTGGCTGACGCAATACGGCATCCGCCAAAGTACGCCTACGTTATTATGGTCTCAACCCATCGCTACTTGGACGGAGCAATGGTATTGGCAGAATCCATCCGCGAATATTCGCCCCTTAGCCGTAGCCGTGGTGCCGATATTGTGTTGATAATTAATGAAAACATCAAGTCTGAAATGTTTCCATTACTTCAGGTTCTCTTTGATCGTGTGCAAATTTTCAGTGGGCTACAAAAGTGGGCGCCAAAGAGTGCATACAAGGCGACATTTGACAAGCTGTACCTGTACATGCTGGAGGACTATAAAGACGGGATTCTTTTTCTCGACGCCGACTCCCTTATCACAGCTAATCCGGACTATCTTCTACAAGCGCATGAAAGGATTGCCACCGTTGTGAACTCCAACCACACTAGCTATTGGACCCAGGCACGCCGTGCGTCACTTTCTTACACTTTGACTGAACACGAGTGGCAGAGACTGCTGCGTTCCAAGAAATTGCCTTTATTGTTTGCTGTTGGGTCTGAGAAGTATTTTCAGACGAGTCTCATGAGTTTGAGGCCTTCCATGAAGGTATTCCTCAAGCTTTATTTGGAATTTCGGTTTGGGAGCTACAGGTACAATCGTTGGCAGGCGCGTGATGGCGTTCTCTTCCGTAACTGCTTTGCCGCCGTTGGTGAATGGATGCGGCGTCCCCATGGGGTGTATCATTTTAATGGGAATCCTAAACCGTGGTTTAACCTGGAGCACCTGGACTACGCGCTGCAGCCCATGAAAGTCATGATGCGGACGGAACTGCCGCTCTCGTGGCGAGACCGCAGTTATCACTACGAGTGGTGGACGCGGTATGAACGTCTTCACATGGAATATTTTCTGCCAATCGAGATGGAAACACGCACGCGTTTTGGCCTCACGCAGAGCGCGGAACTGAGGAAGTGGCGAAATAAATATGGCGCTCACCTAACGCGTGTTCCGTCCGATGTACACGTCACGAAGTACGGTGGGGTGGCGTTGTTGCGAAGGTCCACGTTGGAGCTGCCACTCCCGCTGGGTCTACACTCCGTAGAGAAGGCTGCCGAAGCATCTCCACACTCGTACATGTGGCTTATGCGGTTTAATAGGGCCGCAGAATATCTTCACCCCACACGAGCGCGCATGGCGCAGTTAAGGACAGCTACCGTTCCTCTCGCCTCTGTGCATGAGTTGAGCTTATTGCTGTCCGCTGTCAATGCTTCTTCTTCCAACCCACGGGAGCACACCGGCATTGTCTACGCATTTGCGACCCCTTCACACGATGGGGCAGAGGAAACAAAGGATAATTTTTGGTCGAGCTGCGAAACGCAATGCGCCAAGATGAATTTGCAGTGTAATGCCTCACTATTGGTGGATACGCGAATTGCAGACTGTCAGTATAGTCAACCGCCACTTTCCATGGCGAATGGTCTCATCCGTTGCAAGCATTGTCTGCCTTATTTCAAAAGCGGTGCTCCTTTTGTGGTTTTTCAGGAAAACGAGGAAAATGTGGCATGGGTGCAAGAAGCCTCTGTGTGTTTTTTTAGCGCATGGACTCGCTTTGCAGCACCGCTTTGCAACGCAACAAGACCACTTCTTCATCAATACAAATTGCAAAAGGGGGAGTTTTTGGCACCTGTCTGTCCATGTCAGTAATGGCGTCTTTTTTCTGTATATCTA